GGAGAGGCAGAGTGTGGCCTCCTGGCCGCGCAGCCCTCCTTGGCTGCCGCGGTTTTCACAGTCCTCTGTGTGATGCAGTTTCTAGAATTCGATTCGCTGGACAACGGGTGACTTAAACGTGCTTCAATTCCCTGTTGAACCCCAATTTTAAGTCGCTTACCGCTGTGTAGTAACCAAAGAAACAGGATTACCTCAGCCCACGTTACTCCTGTTTGGTTGAGGACTAAAACCTTCAGTGCAGAAAACGTGCCGACTGGAGATGCTAAACCCGAAGTAAAGCTTAGCTTATTCTCACTGTGTGGGGGGAGAAAGCAGACACAAAGAACTTACTGCCAGCAGTAGCCTCAACTGAAACAGTCGTTAAAAGCAACAATCGGGAACTCAATCTGAGTAGGCTGGCTTGTTTCAACCTTAAAATTAAGTTCTATTAAAAGCAGAGCGAGTCAAGAAGACTACCTCATTTTTAATATTTACAACATGTAACTCTTTAGTCTCTGACAAGCACAGATGCTCCCAAGGGCCAGGGCAGCTGTGTGAGACTGCAGCTTTCTCCAAACCCATGGCACAAGCATCACTAAGGTGAGCTTCCAGCTTCTCCAGACCCAGCTCTGGACCTGCAAACGAAGTGCTGTTCTCACGGGTCGTCCTGAGATGCTAGATCATGGGTAGAATTGTGCTTCTCTAAACACAGAGCCTGCCCTTTGGCTCAAAGGGTGAATGAAATAAATGACTGCCCTGTAAATTCTCTCTCGACTGCCTACTCTGGCAGGAAGACCTCAATCCCGACAGTCACTTTAAAAGAAGACGCCGTTAAAAACCTGAGCTCATATTTCCAGAAGACGAGACACCAAATTACCTCCATTTACTCTATGTGGGAACACAACTAACTCAGGACTACCTGCTATGCTGTGCCCACCTTAGGCAGGTACAACCCACCTGTGTATGTAAAGCCAGTTCGAGTATGAAAGGGGAAGCCTGGCTGGGCCCCTGGAAAGTTAGGTTGTGAGATTAAAACTAATCAAATGTTCAGCAAGACCTGGAAAACTGTGACATTAGTAGAATAGGTAAATTAGTGGAAATCCTCATCAAAACTGAATTAGTCAGGCATGGTGGCTCACACCTGTAATCCCAGCACTTTGGGAGGTGGAGGCGTGAGGCATGATGCCTGAGTCCAGGGATTCAAGACCAGCCTGGGCAACTTGGTGAGACCTTATCTCCACAATAAATCAAAAAATTAGCCAGGCATGGTGGGGCGTGCCTGTAGTTCCAGCTACTTGGAAGGCTGAGGTGGAAGGATCGCCTGAGCCTAGTAGGTTGAGGTTGCGGTAGCCATGAGTGTGCCACTGCACTCCAGCCTGGGCAACAGAGTCAGACACCAACTCAAAAAAAAAAAAAGAAAAAGAAAAACAATTAAACAGCATCTAAATGAAATTACTCATTCCTACAGCAATTAAATGCTAGAAGCTTCCAAATAAACATGCATTTTTAATATCACGTCTCCTCTCCTATTCCCCAATTAAATGATACCGTCCCCAACATTCTATCATTCATGGTCAGGCTTACAAGAAATACTTTTCAGTTCAATGTCAACCTACCTCATCCCCCACCTGATCAAAAGTAAAACACATTCCTTATTCATGAATCACCTCACATGACCTTTTAAAAGACTATGTACAGCCAGGCTCGGTGGCTCAGCCTGTAATCCCGCACTTTGGGAGGCCGAGGTGAGTGGA